TTGCTTTCTATTTTACACACTGCATTATCATTTCTTTCAAAGAATTTGTTTAGAATTACAGGTTTGCACTGACATTGATTCATGAGTGTTTACTTGTGCACTTGAGTTTACTTACTTGTAAATGTATGTGTGTAATATACTGGGTTTGTGTGTGAGATGCTTCTTCTGGAGATAATATTAGCAACAAGATAATTGGAATCTGTGAGAAAATGCAGTTGTACTGTAGGAAATAAAATATCATTTGGTGTTCTGTAAAGGAAATTTATGGAATTCTGTGAAAAGGGGCAGTATATTTTAATACATTTGGCATAATACTAGACTAAAAAAATCCAAATTTGTCAGTGATCACAAACACTGAGATCATTTTTTAATCACAATTATTCCCATACAGAGAATTCAAAAATCTTGTCTTGTCTGTTTTAAGCAACAGTTGAGCTGTGAGATTCCCAGTTATTGTCTGTCAGAGCGGGTATGTCTTCATGACCCTTGGCTCAAACATGGGCTCTTGCATTAAGTAGTTAGCCTTTAAAGCCGGCTGCTGACTGAAGGTCCTTAAGACTTACCATTTTGCTTTAAAGAGTCTTAAGTAAAGCAGGAGTACATTTAAGGAGTGGTTCAACATGAAAGATATGATTTTACTACTTATATAAATAGTAAAAAACACTGCAGTTTTCTTTAAAACTCCTATGGTCTACATACTGTTCTACTGTTGCTGGCTGTTACTCTGTCTTTATTTATGCTTTTAGAGGTTGATAAGATTCAAAACAGATATTGCTACAAGACATTACAGGAGAAAATAAAGCATGAGAGCACTTTCATATTGATTTAAGTTTAAAAAATCATTACTTACGGATCCAAAAGGGAATTTTTTTCCTTCACTTTAAGATATTTTGATTCTGACAACCATATTGGAGTTGGTCATTGAACTTAAATACTTTGCAGTGTTTTTATAGTTATCTGTAGCTATTGTGATTTTTTTTTCCCAAATAAATTCCCAAACTGCCTTCCTTGGCATATCTCAAAGCTAAAGATACAGTAGGTATTGCTACAGGCATCTCTTTGACTATGTTGTGACTTAACGGTTAGGATATTACTAACATGTAATTGTTTTATAAAATTTTAATACCTTATGTATCTCTAGTAATCTGTATATGTTGGTTTGTATGCAGACTTGATCCTTTAATGTCATTTTTCTAAACAAACTCTATAAAATTTACCACTTATTAGTTTTGTTTTCTTCCTGACTACTTCCAGATATGTCTAAATGAGGATGCATTTAGAATTCTGTGTAAACAAGATGTGCAAATTATGTTTGTATACTGCTTTTTTTCAACTTGTTCTTTGAGCAACAGAGAGAAAATAATAAAATTATTCAGTTATGGAACTAATTGACTAGATGAAAACAATTTTGGGATATGTGATTCTGGCATCAAAAGATGTGCTGGATGTTTTAATGCAGTTCTTCACAAATCAGGTGACCTGCTGTCTGAAATGTGTGAAGAGCTATGTGAGAGAGAGGGAGGAAGGTGGTACAGAGCTCTTGTTTGTTCCACAGAATTTCATATATTATTCTCACATAAAAAAAAAGGTTTAAAATTTGAGAGACCTTTTTCCTGAGTTTGCAGGGAATATGAAGCAATGAAAGAACAGTGTGAACTACCATTGATTTCATGGAGTTCAAGCTCCAATACAACTGATGACAATCAAATCATATTATTCAACTCCATTGTTATTTAGCAATTGATATAAGAACAGAAAAGAATGTATCATAATATGAGAGTTTACATCATCTCTCTCTGAAGTGTTTTCCTGAAAAGATAGGCACTCAAGCTTTCAGAATTTGCTCACTGCAAGATGTGAAAGGAATGAAATTAAGTCCTTTGTAAAAGACAGAATTTCACTGAATTAATTTGGCCCAAGACAAATGTTAACAGTCAGAATACATGAAAAGAATGCATTTGTATTAGTTCATTTAAACATCAGTGGTGGCCATATTCAAAACTACCTGTTGAAAGGGCCTTACCTTAACCATTGTGACATCTAACTAGTGAATGTCCAATTCAGGTGTGCCTACAGGCAGCAGAGAGCCTAGCGATACCACAAACAATTTGGGTTGTTCGAGTAAGGCTCCTGCTTCTCTCCATCAGAGAGTTTAGGTGCTTTCTTGGTATCTGCCTTCATATACAAGGAGGGAAACTGCATAGAACCAGCTCACAAGGAAGACTAAAGTAATTGTATCTGATACATAATCAAATTCAGAGCTATGCTCTGATCAACTGGAGTCTCTAAGGGTAGGCAGGTGATGATGGGAGATTTGCACTATAACCAAGGCATTTAATGCTTGCTTCCACAATTGGAGAGCTGTGTTCAGGCTGAGTAACCTGATTCTTTTTATTACTTATCTGTATAGTGCACAGCAATGTGGTCTTGCTCTTGGTACTGGGTCTCTATGCACTATTCAGTGCAAACTTATGGGTGGAAGAGGTCAAAGGAAAAGGGTTAGGTGACCGTAGAGAAATACAGGAAATTTCTGGTGTCTGAGGACTAACAGAAGCTATGGTACCTAACAGATTAGGTTTGATTTACTCTGGAAATATGTCATAACCTGTCACTTTGGAGCTGTTTCATTTTTCCTGGCTATTAGATGATACGATTTACAATATAGAAAAAAATCCAGACTGACAACCCTAACAGACTTTCTTATATTACCTGCAAGGTCTTTGTATCTTTGTTTTTAAACTCTATTTCCCTTCTTCTGTGTTCCAGCACCAAGGGAATAGTCTCAATGGAGCTCATAAAAACAGGAAAACAGTTCAATAAATACACACTTTAAAGTGTCTTACCTGTGGACACAAAATGATCCAAGACTTGAATGAACCTCAGTTCAGTCACAATACTGAATTGTAGCTGGTACCTAAAATAAGTCAGAGTAGCACACAAGCCTTGTCTTGTGAATATAGTTGGTCATACAAAACCCCACCATTCAGGACACAAAACATCTCTTGACATTGTGACTTTTGAGGGATTATGTTGGTTTTTTATTGAGTATGTAAAACTGGTGGTCTAGTGGTTAGGGTGCAGGACTCTCACCGCTGCGACCTGGGTTCGATTCCCAGCCCCTCGGGCAGATGGAGCTCGTCAGCCCTGTAAGGCAATCCATCTAAGAGAAGGTCACTCTAAACAAACCTACGTTCTGAGGACCTCGCTGCCACCGTCCAAGTTCGCTCGGCCCTGGCAGATGAACCTCAGGATCAAAGGGTGGGCTCAGTTCAGCGCACACTGGGTCTCACCTAAAAAAATCCACTGCGCAGGCTCGAAGGGTTAATGACCTTTCCCAAATCTTCGCTCGCGAAGACTGGCCATTATTATTAAGTAGTGAAATGGGATGGATAAAGGGATACTTCTTTCCTTCTTATTTCAGAATTTAAATGTATATTCTACAGTCAACCACAGAGTAGAAAACAAAAACCATTTTCTGTTTATCTGAATGTCATTCTTTCTCCCACCCTCCCAATCTTGGCTTTCCTCACTTGCTCTAATACTTCTCCTGAGCAGTACTATGAACACAAACCACTCTCTTGACTCAGCACATCTCCAAAGTGTCGAGTTTCTCCTCCCAAAAGCCCCATCCTGTTCTGTAATCCTTGCAAGCTGATGTTCCCAGGTCCCTCTCCTGTGCCAGCATGCATCAGGATTCCTCAGTGCAGAGGAGCATCCAGTGTAGCACTTTCCCGCTGAATACACATGACTACACATCACTGTTCTACTTCCTCCTAATTTACAGGTAAATTTGGAGAGTCTTACGTGTTTGTTAACTAGGAAAGAAAGGAGATGAGAAGGAGCATGTGCAGGAAGCTCTGCTTCAGTGGAGCTTAATTTTATTTTCACACAAGATCCTGTATTGTCTGCACTGTGACTTATTTGCTCATTACCTGTAGTCTGTGTGTCAGCAGGTACTCCAGTACTCCAGAGTACTGCTAAATGGCAGTCCTTTTGGATTTCTTGCAATCTATTATGATGTAATGTCTGAATCAAAGCCTGTGCTGTCCCTAAAACTCTAAAGAATCAGTAACTAATGTAAGAAACAATCATAACCTGGGAAAGCCATTTCACTGAGACTTAGCTTGCAACCCCGAGCATCACTAAATGTGGCTTATCAACAGTTTTAATTATCAGAGACTAAGCTTTTCTCTCCCTTTTTCCTTTACAAATGAAGTTATCATATTTTTCTAAAGTAATGAGTCTGGAAAGCTGAGGTTTTTCAGCAAAGACCAAAGATCAGGATTTGTGTTGTAGATGTATTTAGGAAGCAGTTAAACTATAGGGTGTTTTTTGTTGTTGGGTTTTTTTATGATTTTTAATGTGCGTTTCTAGTCAGAAGAAAAAATGTTAACAAAGATGATGTTTTGTGATACAAACAGAGACGGATTTTGCAGATCAGAGAACCTATCAACTACTCTACATTTACAGCTTGATTTTACTAGGAAGTCAGCTATCTGTCTATGTGCTTCATGCTGGTATCCAGCTATTAAGATCTTTCTTCATATCTGTTTCCCTTCCCATTGCAAAAACAACATAATCATTCTAGTTTTATTTTTTAAAATTTATTTCCATGCATAGTTCTTCATAATTAGTTGATATAGGAGACCCATTTGGAAAGGACACTGTTTCTAAAACAGCATGCCAGAATGTTTATATGGCCTTGGGCTGCAGGAACCAGAGGATGGATGAATATCCTGCAGTTGTTTTGGCTATTATATTGTGGATGGCAGGTTGCCAGTAGCAACTGCAGCAGAGTGTCAGTGTCTTCCTCTGTGTGATAAAACAGAGAATATTTGCACTTTCTGAACCACTTCAGGAAGGATTTATGGCAGTTTGAAGGACTTGAAGTGACAAGAGATGGAAGTAGATAAGCTGCTTGCAGGTTATATGCCAACCTGTCCTTCTGTTGGTTCCTCCAGGCCTGGCACCACTGACGCTTTTTTTGCCCTTCCTTCTAGAACATTTAAAAGAGAAGCTGGAGGAATACATGGTCCGTTTTGCCAAAGTGAGGATTGTACGAACCAAGAAACGAGAAGGGCTCATTCGAACCAGACTGCTAGGAGCCTCACTGGCTAGAGGAGAAGTCTTGACATTTCTGGATTCCCATTGCGAAGTCAACGTGAATTGGCTGCCTCCCTTGCTTAGTAAGTGTATGAGCGTTCATCAGACATTAAAATTAGAACATAGAGCAAACAACTGAAGCTGTGTCCCACAATAAGCAGGACATACACTTTATCAAAGTGTTTGAAGTTCTGCTGCAGTGTCTGAAGTGTCATCATGAGAGAGAACTCTGAGAAGTGTAAGCAGCTCCATTTTGTTTCTTGTGACTAAAGAATTAGTAAAATTTTGAAGTATCTCTTTGGCCTAGTATAGTTACAATGTGTTTTATTATTAATACTACGAAATACACTACTAAATCTAGTATTATGCTATGTCCTCATTATATACCAGGAAAGTTTTCTTATGTAGGTATTGTACTCCTTCCTAGTCTTCCACATTTCATTAAAACAGTTTTTACTGTAAATGTATCCAAGGCCTTAGTGTTAAAGCCAGTAGCAACTGCATTCACAACAGGAAGCTCAGAAAGAATGATATGCTATTGACTGCTTTGCTGGATTCCAGCTGCAGCCAGCAAAGCTCCATTAGTCAAAGGAGTGGAAAGAATCGATTGTAGCCTAGGATTTCACTTCAGGAAACAATGTCCGCTTTTCTACACACCTGACTACATGCAAAGTGTATATGCTTTGTAAAGTGAGTGCTTCTTTTGCTACCGTAACCAAAGAAAATTTCTGAGTTTCCTATTAAAGAAATTTGTATTAATTAAAAAAACCTGTTGTAAGTGGAGAACAGGTTATGGTTTCACCAATTAATGGTTATTATTTCTTGAATTTTGTTGTTTGGACTGTTGGGCCACACAGTAAGCTGATAAAGCATTTCCAGGCAAGATGTGCTGTTCTGCTAATGAACTATCACTAGAGACCAAAAAAAAATACTAGTTTCTCTTCAGATCAATAACAAGATAATGCACAAAATTCTAAATTTTTATACTTTCTAGTTTCCGTATCAAATTATGCATACAGTCTTTCCCCTTGTTACCCCTTTGCCCTTAGTCACAACATCCGCATTTTTAAAAATAACCTCCATGACTTCATGTGAAGCACAAATGGTATAAAGGAGCAGAGAAAAATACAAGTTTTAACAAGCCTTCAACAAGCATCCCCAACAAGTAGCTGTTAAACCCTCCAGAGCACTCTACATATACAGCCACCTTTCCTTTGTTTTCTGGTTTTGCCCCACTTCTCATAATACATTGCCACAAATTAAAAAAATCTCAAGAAGTTTCTCACTCTTGTCCTCCAAAGTCTTTTGCTAAGTTACAGCAGTAACCCTTCTATTTTGCAAACTTTAACATGAGAAAACTGCAAGTTGCAAAAACAGTTCCTTTTCTTGCTTTCTTCTCTGAAATGAGCCATAGAGTCATTAAGATTGGAAAAGACCTGCAAGATCATCGAGTCCAACCTTTCACCTGATACCACCATGTCCACTAACAATATCATGAAGTTCCAAGTCCATGCATTTTTTAACACTTCCAGGGATGTTGAGCCCACCACTTCCCTGGGTTGCCTGTTCTGATGCTTAATTAGTGAAGAAGTTTTTCCTAATATCCAATCTGAACCTCCCCTGGTACAATTTGAGGCCATTTCCCCTTATCCTATCACTAGTTGCCTGGGAAAAGAGACTGACCTCCACCTCATCACAACCTATTTTCAGGTAGTTATAAAGGGTAATAAGGTCTCCTCTAAGTCTCCTTTTGTCCAGACTGAACAACCCTGGTACTCTCAGCCACTTCTCAGCAGACTTGTGCTCCAGACCTTTACCAGCTTTGCTGACCTTCTCTGGACTCTCTCCAGCACCTCAATGTCTTTCGTGTAGTGAGGGGTCCAAAACTGAACACAGGACTTGAGGTGCAGCCTCACCAGTGCCCAGTACAGGAGTGTGATCACTGCCCTGGTCCTGCTGGCCATACTTTGCTGATATAGGCCAGGATGCCATTGGCCTTCTTGACCACCTGGGCACTGCTGGCTCGTGTTCAGCCACCTGTCAGCCAGCACCCCCAGGTCCTTTTCCTCTAGGCAGCTTTCCAGCCAGGCATCCACAAGCTTGTAGCGCTGCATGGAGTTGTTGTGACCCCCGGGCCTCAGCTCATTGATCCAGCCTGTCCAGATCCCTCTGCAGAGCCTTCCTACCTTCCGGCATATTGACACTCTCACCCATCTTGGTGTCATCTGCAAACTGCAACTAAGGTTGCGCTTGATCTCCTCATCTAGATCGTTGATAAAGATGTTAAAGAGAAGTGGCCCCAGTACTGAGCCCCGGAGAACATCACCTGTGACCTTCTGCAAGCTGAATTTGACTCCATTCACCACCACTCTCTGGGCCTGGTCATCCAGCCAGTTTTTTACCCAGTGAAGAATGCACCCATCTAAACTGCCAGCTTCTCCAGGAGAATGCTGTGGGAGACAGTATCAAGGGCTTTACTGAAGTCCAGATAGACAACATCCACAGATTTCACTCATCCACTAGTCAGGTCACCTGCTTATAGGAGGAAATAAGTTAGTCAGGCAAGACCAGACTTTCATAAACCCATGCTGGCTGGGCCTGGTCCCCTGGTTGTCCTGCACATACGTTATCTCACTCCAGATAGTCTATTCCATACACCTAGCCAGGTTTCACCCTATAAAAATGGAAAAATAATAGAATGGTGACACAGGATTCATAATTGCAGTTAGGTTGCGGTTGGGTATTCAACTCTCATCCTCAAACCATAAAACTGGAAAGATGAGAGAAACTTCATCAGTGACAAAGTCCTTAGTTCTCAAGTGGAATGAGATCTTTCTCATTCTACATGTAGTAGAATTCCCATAGATAACCAACCAGCCAGAGGATCTAAAAATGAATCTTGAGGAATTCTGGGATATTTTGAAAGAAAAAGTAGAGCATTACATGAAGAAGGACAAATAGAGAATGAACACACATTTAGTATAATTAAGGATGCCCTGTTTTCCTAAAGGGATGAGAGAACTTTCTTATAAACATTAGATGGCAAATATTTACTATACTGAAATCAGATGACACCTGGCTTCTAATAGTAGTAAAGTTAATGTATATTTTCAAGTGTTTATCTGAAGATCTGTCTTATGATTCACTCAGCACTGCATGTGACTGAAAGTCATTCAGGGAAACCACAACAGAGGATATGTTGGGTGTTTATTGCTTTGAAGCTGACCTACTTTAGCTCTGATTGTTTCTGCCATGTGTAGTGAAAAATCCTAAACAAGAACACAGTTCAACCCTGCTCTGGGCTGGCAGCCTTCACTGAGAGGGGCAGCGGTTTCCACTGTTCCAGCCCAGCTTTTGTTCAAAACAAGACCTTGAAAGTTAGAGGACAAGGGGGGTGGTGAAGAAACTGAGAGCAATCACTTAAAGATGGTTCTTACATTTAAGTATCTAACTTATATTTTCAGAATTGACTGTCAGCTTTTAGACCAAAGGAAAACTGAGTTATTTTATTACTTGTAGGGTGTCTAATTGGCTTTGTAGAGCTGAGCCACAGTTGTTTGCAGTTACAGTCCTTTGTTTTGCTTTCTTAAAAACTGGTGTAAAATGACTTTATTTTCTTTAAGCTTTATTTAGTTTATTTAGCTTAAAAGGGCTGTTAAACTTAGATAAGACACTGAGATACCAGATACTCATATTCACTGAGTGGGCAGCTGTAGTGATGTAAAAAGGCTGGCAAATACAGCTGTTTGTTGTCACTCCTTGGTGGTATAAAGTCAGCAGAAGGAAGGGTGTAACTTGGACTCTAGCTGCTGTAGTTGGCAGTTTAGTGCAGTGTGAAGTCACAGTTATTGCAGATAAGAAACTGAATGGTGAACCAGCTGAAAGGTGCAGGCACATATTTCCTTCTCCTGATGCTGCTGCAGGAGAAGTAAGCGGAGAGATGGGCAATAGATCAGTAGTCCCATAAGGTACCAGAACTAGGTTTGTTAAAATGTGCTTTTTTCCTGACCAAAAATTAAAATTGTATCATGATCAGATTATGCTTAGCAAGTTATCAAAACACTCACTCACTACAGCCATCCATCTCCACAACATGTATATGATGTATTGCTTGTCAGTGGGGAAACTGAGGATACAAGTACTTATGACAACTCAGATAAAAAGACATAATTTGCTGAACCACTCAAATGTTGTCACTATCTGTAATCTCATATTTAAGCAGGACAATAATAGTATTTACAATGAAAAATTGAAAAAATAAGAGTATTTACAACTTGGCATTGTTACTTTATCCAGGTCAATTTGAAACAACCACTTGAAATTAAAGAGGTGCATCTTTCTCATAAAGATAAAACCTACTGAAATAGTGCCTCATCCAATATTGAAAACTTCTTGTTTATTGCCATGTATGCACACTCTGATACTGAAAGTGCGGAGTTCAGATATGTGTGTATATATTGCTTAAAATTGCTAGGGAGAAAGCTCTGAGCAATGTTCTCTCTTGTTCCCAGGCTTTCCCTGAAGTCTGCAAGATTTTTACATGTACAGTGATGCTTATCTGTCTGTTCTTTCCTTTAACTGCAGCATAGATGCATTGAAACAATGCATGGATATTTTCAGACCAGTAGGAGTGTGTGAGAGGATGATGTATAAAGGCAACGGAAAAGAAATTGTGAAGCATTTATGCAGTGTTTTTGGGTGTCTTGCATTAGGAGCAGGTGGGGTAAAGAGCAGTAGCTGACAAAGGCAGCAGCATGTTTGCATCTCTAAAGCTATGATACCAGCACACTTGTGAAATGTGAAAGCTAGCCCTACAGACTTTTCTTCTGTTTCCTAAATTCTTAATCACGGTACATTTAAGCCTAAGTAGTATATATGCAAAATGCATTATTTTAGGCATATGAAAGAAACATTGAGGCTGCAACTTTGGTTGCTCTGCTTTTTGGTGTGCACAACTAAACACCCTGGTTTCATCAAAAGTCAAAATCTTCCCATGGTTCCTCATCTCTAAAACATTTTGGGGGCTGAGAAGTAAGTTCTGCAGAAATACACAAAAGTAGGCAGGTAAGCACCATCATACTTACAAAATTCTTGAGAGTTGCAAAATGAAGACTGGTATTGAGTTTGAGCATTGCTTAAATAAATTTCTCCCTGACTATCTCTGCATGTGACTTGGAGACTTCAAATCCCTCAGTGTATTTAAAGACAGCAGCTTTTAAAGATGAAGAGAGGGATGCTAAAGCGTTATGAGTCTACCTTTGACCTGCTCCAGCCAAATCAATCCCACTTAGTTTCTCTCCTCCAATCAATTTAGAAAGGGGGGAACAGAGTCAGACTGTTATGAGTCCTATAACTATTAGCAGGACCATCACCGGAAAGAGACTATGTAGAAGTGACTTTATATAATGATCACAGATAACACTACACAGTATACTAGTGAATGTAATTATGTTTGGAATAGCAACAGTAATGCAGCCATTATCTCTGAGATGAGTTTCCTAGAATTTTGTAAGAGCCTGTGCTTCAAATTTATTTCACTATTAAAGGATAAGGATGTAAAAACCTGCTGAACTTCCAGTCACAGTAATTTCTCACTAGCAGTCAGCATTGATTTGGACAGCCTCTTAACAGCAACTTAGAATAAATATAAAAACTCAGATGCTTTGCTAAAATAATCTATTTTTCTTAATTTCAGTCCCTCAGAAGCAAGGAAGAAGAATCTGTATTATTAATCATTGCACGAGTATTAGTGTACACCTGACTGGTGTACACCTTCCTATCTAAGTGTTCAATCCATACTGAGCCCTCTGATTATTTTTAGGGTATTATCAAGCACCAGTGAAATCTAAGCCTTAAAAACAAAAACCAAGTTTTCCGCACAGGCCCTAACATATACTAAATAATTTAAAGGATCTAGGCTACCATTCAGAGAAAAAGCTTTATTATTCTTGGAATGTTGAGATTTTAGTTTTTTCAGGGGTTTGTAGGTAGTTTTTCTACTGTCCTTTCATGTCAATCCTTTCGGATTTTCTCTGTACTTCCTAATTTCAAGCCATTCTTCTTCCTAGTTCTTGCAGTTGGCATATCTTATTTTTTTGCCTTTTTTTTCGGAGGAGTTCTCTAGGATTAAACAATAGGATTCACCAAAGCAGACTGAAGACCACTTTGAGCTTATACTAGACATGGGAATTTGATTTAGCCTCACAGTTCTAACATTTTTTTTCTTTAAAAAAAAGCAAACCCAAACTGCTTTCTTTAGAAAGCAGGTCAGAATAATACTGTGGAGCCTTCTTTATATCTCAAAGATTGGTACAAGAAAAGGACACAAGCTCTGTTTTGCTCTTCATGTTGGAGTTTGCCTTTAATTTAGAGCATTTGATCTCAAAGCTGATGCACACTACAGCCGTAGGAACAGTGGCTGAATGGTTGCAAGGGCTGAGTTTCACATTTAGGAACACAAATCCCTCTTGCAGGAGCTTGCCATACACACTCCCCACAGCTGAAGGAGTATTTTTACAGTTTGCTTGCTGGTTTGTTTCATAGCTGACAGATTGGGGACAGCTAAGAGTAGCAAAGTGGCAGAGATATACATGACTGGACTCATGTGGGTCTCACAGGGATATGCCTCCCTTTAAAGAACTGTAAATACTTCTAATCATTTCCCAACTGCATTAATTCCACTTTAGATAAAAGTTTGATACAGATTTGAAAATGAAATTATTTGGGGGGCCATAGGGCACAAAGCAAGCAATCTTCAAACATCAGAAACCCGTGGGATTCACTTTGCAGTAATATGATAGATGGCCTGACTAGACATGCCGTTTCCTATTTTCTACTTTCATTTTTCAGACCAGATTGCACTTAACCACAAAACCATCGTGTGTCCTATGATCGATGTCATTGACCACAATCACTTTGGCTACGAGGCACAGGCGGGGGATGCCATGCGAGGAGCTTTTGACTGGGAAATGTACTACAAAAGAATACCGATTCCTCCAGAGCTCCAGAGAGCTGATCCCAGCGACCCCTTTGAGTAAGTAGTGATAAAGGGGAGAGTGGGAACATGAAGAAGAGCAAGGAGAAAAGGTAACTGTAGCAGAATCGAAGCCCAGACATTTCCATGTAGGCCACTTCCTACTAGTGAAAGGTAGTAGAATTAAACAGCTTCTATACAGGTTTATCCCAAATCTTCGTTCACAAAGCCTAACCATGATGATGATGATACAGGTTTATAAAACCTCAAAACTAGGAAAAAGATCAGGGCAACAATTTGCAAAATTCACAAGCTGTGCCTGGAAAGACAACCTGGCTCAATGGTTATAAATAAAAGAAACAGGCACATACTTGTAGTTCACTTATTGGCATTGGACAAGAAGTGAATGCGATTACAGGTATTCTGTTTATTCCGCAGAAGACTTCCTGAACAGACTTTGTTTAATGTTTCATTTGCTGAAGATTGATGCAATATATGCATCAGTAGTTGAGTCCACATTATGCCAGTAGATGCTTTGTTTATAACTGGTGATATTGCTACCGTATATATATTGCTGTAACTTAAACACAGAGCTCTCAAACCTGAACAGTCTCAAGATGATTTGTAGATAGTTTAAAACAAGCCAGACTCTAATCCCAGTATTGTACAGATCAGTTCATTCACAGGAATGATCTCCTACTTTTCACAAAGGTAGTTCGTTTCTTCTTATATTTTCTTTATTTTCTCATGTAAAGATCAGCTAGGGTTAGTGCGCATCAACAGAGAAAGGACAGACAGACAGATATGGTTCAAGTCTCTCACACAGCCGTATTCCAGCAGTGCTGGCAACGGAGGGGGCTCTGATGCTTTAGCCCTGGCTGAAACTCTACACTGTAGGTTTTGGCAGTTTAAAAGCTCAGCATTTTCCCCTTCCCAAAGCAAAACCTGGAAACAATACCAACAGAAAACCTGTGTCTCTGACCCAGACTCTGCACTATCTTGAAGTAATAGATCTAATTCATGCAGAAATTTACCCTAATATCCAGGGACTGACCAGCTCTGTATAGGGAAGAGTAGGTAATTGTGATATTTGTGGGCTTATTTTCATTATTCTGCTTGTTCCTTTTTACTTATCTCCATCCAGGCCTCTCAGTCTTCATCTTGTATTAGTGTAAGTGCTGATGAAGTACTGTTCTTCAGCTGCTGATGTGACCACTCCACAACATAGATGCAGCTATTGCAATCACATACATAACATTCTGGAGTTGCTAGAGCCTCCACTGCTCTTCCACGAGTCTTCTTGGTCCTCTGAGCAGTTGTAATTTCTTGACACTTACTGAAGGTCACCTAGTACATTGTATAATTTGGTTCAGCATTCAAAGTTTGTGTATGAGTAAAAGTTCTATATTGCCATATGGGGCAATATGGAGCTGCTTATCAGCCATTTTACACATTTGTGATATGCATCTCTCAAATGCAAGAGAGGCCGGAAAAGGAGGCACTCTTAGGAAACTTTCTAGAAAGATGAGGCTTTCTGCAGTGCAGAATAGATATGGTGGTTTTGGATGAACTGCTGTTCCAATCAGCATGGCAGCAGTTGATACCCACCTTGCCCTGACAGCATTCATAACACATGGGCAGATAAATGGGTTCGCAAGGAACAAGATATAGGACAGTGCAGCCTATAAATCCCTTGTAATCTGAGTAGGTGGAAAGACTTCCCAGTTCTTACACAAATCAATGAGAGTCTTCGTTTGTTTTTGCTGTCACAGGATCTGCATCAGAGCGATGCAGGAGGCAAAGCAGCATTGCACATGGAACCACCATGTCTGTCCCCACACATGCCAGCAGGACTGGCTGGACAGGCTGAGCTAGGACAATATGCTTGCTTTAAAGTACCCTCTGCCTAGAATGGCAAGGGAATGGAAGTTGTTTAAATAATCAGTATGAATTTTGCTTAGGGGAGAAATTATTTTCTAATTTGAAGTCAGTACTGCTTTTCTCCTAGGGCCTTCTCTGCTGAGACCTCAAGCTTTTAGTACCTTGCTTACAACAAATACAGTAAACATTACAAACCATTTTAGCTATCAGTAACTTAATTGACCAAGACAGCTTCTATGGAATTAAAGAGACAGAACAGTTTTCCCTTAGATGCATATACATTAAAACTAGAAATTACTTCAGCCAGCTTCAGCCATAATTATTATGTTACTATTTTGCAAGCAGTAGGGATTTTATTTTTTTTTTTAATTCAGGTTAAATGTTTTACTATTGGCATCCTAATAGCTTTATTTCTTGCCAGCAGAGCCAGATCTGAGATGAACCTTAATGAACTGGAAAATTGCCAGCATTTTTAGTAAAACACCAGCAAATAATGGATACATGATCCAAAAATTTTGCTGATGACTTTTTCCCCTCACTTAAAATGCCAATGCAGTACATGTGTGAAGCAGAAAAGGTCACATCAGCCTAAAAAATAATGTACATAAAACCAGATCAAAGTACAGAAGACCTAAGAACAGTTGTTGTATTATCTGTGTGGTACACTTGCTTTCCATCTGCACATGATCGAAATACTGCTGCAGCAGACATCAGCAGCATATTTGCAGTTGACTCAGCCAACTGAAATGTTGTCAGGTAGGCTTTTGGTGTGACAGTAGCACAGACCTTACTAAGCTACAGTGCCAGCTGAGCTAGTGTTTCTGGAATTAATCTTTTCCCACTTTTTAAGGTCTTTTTAATTGTGTTCCACAGTGCTCAGTGCTTAACTGGTGTTCTCTTATTGGATGCCATTTGTCTGGACACAGTCTTTCAGTTCAGAATCCCTCTTGTGAAGAAGACACATCCCCATCCATTTGTGATGTGAGTGTAGTCATGGTTTATTGTTCCTACACCTGCAGTTCTACTTGGGCAGCATCTCCGCCTTCCGCTGTGACAGAATTTGGAGCTTCATCTCAGCTTTTCCTGACGTACAGTCTCACCCATTCTCAGATGCTCTGCAGTTGTTCACAAGTAGCTTTGCAGCAAGTTATGGCTTGATGTTTATGACTTTAGGACTGTAAAACACTCTTGAAATCTTCCAGTGTCAAATTCAGCTACAGATGATGTACTAGCACCAACCTGGGATCATGTGACAAATTTGAAATTTGCATTTGGATCAGGCTTCATCAATCCATAAATTTTATCAGTTTGGTTCACGTGTACTTTGTCACTGGCCATGCCAAGTTTCCCATAGGTTTCACTGAACAAAACTACAGACGTATAAAATGTATTTTCAATCAAATCAGACGTATAAAATGTATTTTCATCCCATGTTAATTATTGGATATTGTTCTATGCTCATTTGCAACATTTAGGAAAGTTTAACATTATTCCAAAAATGAATCTTATGTAGCTTTTAAGACAGCTACTTTTCTGAAAGATCTCTGCGGCTTTTTTTCAGGATACACTGAATTTTTAGATGCATGGAAATTGGACTTTGCCCCTTATAATGTTGTCTTCTCATCCAGAGACTAAATCTCTCAACTCCTTGATTTCCCTTTTTCATGTGCCAAGAAACAACAGAAGTTTTATATTGTTTTATATTCAACTGATCTGTCACAGTTGCAGCTCATCACAGTGACTGCAGTGATTTTTCTCTTGCAATTCGTGTACAACTACCCTAATACACTTTGAAAAGGGCTTCATGCTATTTTCTTGTGATTCATTTAAGGTTGTGTAAACGACATAAGACAAATTGGTGTTCTGATGTATGGCGGGAAATTGTCAGACAATTGTGAAATCCTCATCATGTCATGGTGATGCTCACTGTCTTGATCCCAGGGTCAGTGATCATTCAGCAGAATTGGAGATGACTTGGGGAATTTTCTTCTAGTCTATTAGCAGGGAGGACCAGAGATAAACATTTCCTTTGTGGCAAAGGTCACCTTGGCCTATTATCTCTTGCTGGTTTGTTCCTCTGTCATGGTAGAGGTTTGAGAGTATGCCCTTACAGGACACACAGATTTGGGACATAACAGCATGCTTTTCTATGGCTGTTTCTTTCTGTGGTGCAAGCACCCTGGTGTCAGGAGGAGTTTGCCTAACCCGAACCATCACCACTTAAACTAATAGGGCAACTTTGTTACTATGATGGACTGTGATATACAGCATGTCAGTTTATATGATTTAGTAGCCTGTCTGGGCTAAAAGCTCTGTGGAAGTTTAAAGCAGAGGTTTGATATGCTGAAGCCTGTTGGGGATGACTGCTCTTTATTTCCTGGCAGCACTTACATTACATCAATTCATGTTATCACATGCCTGATCTGTAAACCGGCATCAGTGTCCATTCATGCCAGCAGAAACATATTTTTAACCAGACAAGAAAACATCAATTCAATTTAAAAACTATTTGGAAAATCCACAAACTAATTGAGAATATTAACATACCACAGATCAATTAGGGTAGGAATGGGCTTCACAGCTCCTTGGAGCAGTTTTATGATAGTGTAACTTTATGATGCAGGAGGGAAGGAAAGGTGTAGGTGAGACCTAACAACGTTGCTTTTGAATTGCAACTCAGATGGAAATTCTGACCGATGAGAGAAGTGTTATGCTACTTTCTGGATGCCAAGACTTCTAGCATCTGCCTGAGAAAGTTAGAAGTGTTTTGGTGTATGACCACTCCTTACTCTCCAAGAGTTCTTTGTTTGCCTTCCGGTGTAGAGCTGTGATCTCCAGCCCTCCCTGAGGCAGACAAAGCTGAAGAGTCATTAATTCTAGCAAAGAACCAGGACGATAGTTTGGCAAATATGAGCTTATTCAAGTAAGTAGAAACAACTTTGTAACGTCTGACAAGACATTTTAGTTTCTGTACTCATATTCCCATTTATAAAACAGAACTAGAATCATTCCACCATCACAAGGCTCTCACAGTAATAAGGACCACTTATGTTTAATGGATGTACTTTTGGGTAAAATTTTGGACATGCTCAAGAGGTGAAATTGGGTGATCAGTACATGTTTCTTTTCCTTGCATCACAGGCTCTCAACCTTGAATGTAATGTATGACCTTAATGTAG